GGGAATTTAAAATTGCCCTATAGGGGAAGTCAAAATTTTGATTTCAACTGGCATTCTTTCAGGAGAACTCGAAATTTTGATTTCCCCTAGGGGAATTTTAAATCGCCCTAGATTTTGATTTCCACTGTAACATATATTTTTAACTGCAAAATAAAACGGAGATTGAGAATTCATCGCGATCTGCGACAGTAGTAGTCGCGATGCGACAAAAGTCACTTTGGCTCAAAATCGCTACAAGAATAGTAATCGTGTCAGCGATCGCGCCGCGACTCTAAACTATAGCTGCACAAGATGACCGCGATTGTAAGATTTATCAGGACTAACGGGGATACAACGCGATTAGTTTGAATGATCACGAGGCAATAGCGATCGCTAAAATCACGCCTTATTTTCACGAATCTGGTAGCGTTCGCATTACGCGATCGCTCCGCGATATCATCGCGAAAGTTAGCTTGGACAGCCGTTTTTTTGTGTGCATAGTAGTAGATTAACGTTTGTTTGCGAACTTTTATTCTGCGTTTTTAGCGAAGGCCGAAAACCTCCGTTAGATCTTCTTTAGCCATTCTAATAGAGGTTTCGCTGTGAAAATTAATTAAGGAAGACAGAAAGTAGAGAACGTTTTAAAGAACTTGTTTACTACGTCCACTGAGGATCGATATCTTACCTGAGAATCTCTGGTACTTGCATCATTGGAACAGATATTCCTGTTTTTTCGAAATAAATTTTGAGCCTCGTTCACTGTGTAAGTTCTAGAAATTGGGACATTCTGTTTGCAAAAAAACGTAACATGACAGATGTTCTACAATTCTGATTTTTGCATCAGAAAATGTCACACGTTGTATAGTCTCAGTAGCTGAAAGCCCTCAACTCTTTGTCTCTTTTCGATAAAAAATAATTAAAAAAAACATTGCAGAGCATTTTAGTTTGAGATAGACGGCGGTCTGTTTTTTGGAGTGATTTAACGAGTAACTGACAGCTGATAAATAGAATAACATACGGTGCTTTCCGTTCACATTATTATCATGATCTGATTTTTACTGATTTCCGAACCGAAGAGTATTTGCCATTATGTAAAAGTGTCAAGAATCAAGCTGTTCTTGATAGTCCACTTGATGCAAATTGATCACGATTTATGGCTAAATTTAATAATTCATCTCCAGTTCTTCATAATATTGTCAAAACATTAACGGAAGCTGAAAGTATTGATGCATTTCAAAAGATTCTAAAAGAAGTTGAAACTAGTCGAGAAAGTGAGAAATTTGAAAATTACTTTAAGCGATATTTACTTACAAAATATCCCGCTCTCCTAATCCATCTGTATATATTCAATGATCTGTTAAAAGTTATCTAGCAGAATGCTGCGCCGTTCTGTATCATGGTTTATTATTAAATTTAGTATTAATGTCTGAACGAGTATATCGAGGTATTACACTGACCATCGACGATATTGCGCGCTATTATTATGTAATGAAAACACCCGGCAGTACTGTGGAACCGCGAAATTTTCATTAACGTCGAAAGATAAAGATGGTGCACTGATGTTTTCAGGTTTTGGTGATCCATTAGCAGAAGGCTTAAATAGCATCTTACTCGTCTATGAATTTCCTAATAAATGTCAGACAGCAATCGATTTAAATCGTATATCCGACAGTTTACCATGCATATCAGAATTTCTAGATGAAAAAGAACTACTCATTTTACCGTATACAGTATTTGAAGTTTCTAATGTTACAGAAGAAACTGACTCACAATCGGTTTCCATTTATCTAAGAAATATACTAGGTAAACGTTACACTGATCTTGTCGATAAATCGAATTTATTTATATTTATACGTACAACTGCTCTTGCATTGCAAGTATTCAAATCTCTCTGTAAATTTGAATTCTCTGTCGTATTTTCCTACAGTCAATGTCTGTTTGATCGTACAAATTTACACAATAAAATATTTAACGTTGAATGGTAGTTTTCTACTAGACAATCTATTTCTACTGTTACAAAAGTTTCCACAACTAAAATACTTAAATTTAATTGAGATTTGGTTTAAGTCATTGACAGTGATCCTGTTACCTTATTCATTGAGAAATGTAAAGTTAAATTGAATTTATTAATGGAATTCACAGACGATTTTGATCGATTTGAATCATTTCCAACGAATTTATCAGAAGTGTATTCTCTAACAATTAGCAAGAATTTACGACATGCTTTTTTGGTCTGGTTTTAGTTCTCAGCAATGGACACCTCTCTTGTTAAAACTAAGTCTAGATGATCTCTTAACATGCGCTTAAATATAGATAAGGAAGACTGACATGCTAAAGCCGAAGGAAGTTCATTCTATTCCTTTGTGCCACGTGGAACGAAAGAGTCGGATGCAGATTTTAGCTTTAGGCGAGGAATGAAAATGCTATTATTATGAGCTAATCGAGAACTTTGACGCGTAGTTAGTGCCGAGATCAAATCAAAAGATGAGAGAGAACTTTTATTATAGAATATTTTATGAAAATATAGAAGACAATAGTAAAGATGTCTGTCGGGAAGTGGTTGAATTTTAAATATTTTGAGAAAATCAGAAGACGAACTATTAAAGGCTTGTCAGATAATTCTACTAGCAAGACGCTGAATATTGTTTGGATTTGTGGTATACTGTAAGCAAAGAACGGGCTGCATTTTTGTAAGTCAGTGAAAACAACTGAAAAAATCAGACTTTTTTTTGCGTGATTTTCAACATTTTTCGTATATCTCGAGAAGGAAAGCATATTTGTTGGAAAAAAAGCTACATCACGAGAGAGGGTCTCTGTGGTAAAAATTTCAGCTGGATCGGATCATTTTTTGGAGGGGTAATGTGACCTGATGAAAAATGCAGATTTCCGGAAAGCCTCCACAAGAACACCTCAGAAAATTCTGGGCAAAAATACACCGATTTTCTTTTTCGATGTTCTATTTCTGCTATAGATTGGAGCCCAATCGGACGTGTACTCTGCATTTGGCAACAAGGTAAAAAAGAAGGAGGGGAGAGGTACCCCTAAGCTCCGAGAATAATCGAAGGTAGGATAGAAGTTAGCCTAGACCGACTTTCTCACGTACTACGTCTATTCTTCCTCTTTTTCGCCGTTAAGTCCCGTCTATGCTCTAAGATGGAGGAGAGGTAACCAAGCGGATCCAGGTCACACAAAGTCGATCGTGTGTCGGGTGAACACATGCGACATTTTGACGTTGATTGTGGCATCCCACGTCGACTCTAGCTGCATCTGTCTTCATTTTGCCATTTTCGTGTCATCCTTCCCTAGTAATCTATCTTCATTCTCCGATGTTTAATTGTGACGCCGACAGTCGGAGGGACGCCGGAATGTATGTCGTATGATCACTTCTTTCACTCACTGGAACAATTCTGATAGGAAGAGCATCCAACCCTCCGTGTTTCTTAACCATACCTAAAAATCACCAGAAAACTAAGAGAGCTTCAGAAACCCAGATTCTCAGATATTGGACACCATGTTTATCGTTCGTATTGATTCAAACTAAGCTAAGAAACAGTAGAAAATCAAATATTTTTCAAAAAAAAAAGTGCAAGATTTCCACAACGGAACCCTGCAACGGACTCGATTAAAGTCTACATGCATGATGTTTAGACGGGAAAATAAACATGCTGACTTCAATCGAGTTAGTTGCAGGATTTCACTTTTTCGCATTTGTGAGTACAAGAAAGTCTTGCGAACTTGATGCTTGAACATTATTTAATTTGATCAAATAATGAGTGTGTTATGAGCAGTTGATTACAAAGAATATTTTTCATACTGCTCTTTTCTGCAGAGAGACAGAATGTGGTAAATGTTAATAGAGATATATCTTAGATATATGTACATCTCTATCTGAATGCTAGAGGCCTGTTGCTTTTAGTTACTCGCACTCTTTCATATATAAAACACGAACTAAATTTCATTTTCTTTCATCATAATGTACAGAAACAGAAAAAATTATATAAAAAGCAAAAATTCAGTTTCTGTGTAAAGAAAAAAACAGAAGGAGAATGTATTTCAGTGTGTTACGTTACGTCGTCAAAAAAATCGTCAAAGTACCCGTTTTTGAGTTAAATAAGCGGCACATGTCGCGCTTTTCGCTAAGGTTCTTTGCTGGAAAGGTGTCATATACGTTTGGTCAGAATGCTCTTCTATGAGCCAACTCTAAAAACACGTTGAGACGCTTTGACGTGTTGCCACAGCTGGTGTAAGCACTAAACTGTGTGACTTTCGCCAGATCATTGCTGTGATCGCCGTCACTGACCTCACAGCACTAAATTCAGCCGGGTGTGTTTGTGTGTATGCGGTTAGAAGAGTGACATCAGCAGTTGACCGCCGACGTTTTCTTAGAGAGCCCAAAGATGGATTAAAATTAGATGTTCTCAGTGTATATAAACAAGTGGAGACTGGTAGAGCCTGCTCTCTCCTCCAATCATCAGGAAAAACAGGGAGTTTGTCGTTATTACAACTCCTAGGTAGCGCCAGCTCGTTGTTTTCTTTTATTTATAAAATATAATAGTGAACAGAAAAAAGGATGCTCTCAATAGTGATAAATTGAGAAGTCTTCCAATGTTGTAAATTAAATTTGCAGTAATCT